CTAAACCCTAAACCTAAGACAACCCTAAACCCTAAACCTAAGACAACCCTAAACCCTAAACACTAAACTAAAGACAACCCTAAACCCTAAACCTACGACAACCCTAAACCCTAAACCTAAGACAACCCTAAACCCTAAACCCTAAACTAAAGACAACCCTAAACTCTAAACCCGCGAAGAGAAGCTCCTCGAGTGAGGCTCCCCGCTGCCTCTCGTGAATGAAGTGCACGCGAAGGTGCCGCTTTGCTCAGAGTATTCGGCCCGGAGGGTGAATAATGGGGTTCCTTCGAAGGTTCCTTCAAAAGGGTAGGGTTTAGAGTTTATAGGGGTTTAGGAGTTAGGGCTTAAGGGCCGTAATGATTAGAATAGGGCTCCTTTAAAAAATCTATAAAGGCGACTACAAAGGCTATTTCTAGGGATTTAGTACGGGGGGCCTTAATAGTTCGAATGAAGTTTCGGGGTACAGTATGCTAGAATTGAAGCAATAGTTATAATAAGGAACCCCGCAAATAGTGTCGCTAATTATTAAGGCCTCTATAGTAAAAACAACAATAGCAGTATCAATAGTGCAACTGCAAAAATGTATACTGATAGTAATAACAACAGTAATCATATTCCTAACAGTGTTATTGTTTCGTGGTGTTTGGGTTTTCGCGCTTAGGCTAGCTGAAGCTCGCCAGAATCCTCAATATTTGAATCACCTGAAACTCTGCACCAACCCCGTGTGGATGAACCCCCGAAGCCTGAATCGCACAGAGAACACGACCCACAAGCCCTCAAGCCATGCAAGGCCATAGTACAAGACATCACGCTGCATGGCTTTTTCCGATTGTTCAAGACCCCGAGTCCTGCCTGAGGTTTAGCCTCCGCAAAAAACGCAGAGCAGGAATAGCAGATTCTGACACAAGGGAGCACCAAACCCTAAACCCCACAAACCCTAAGCCTCTAAACCTCTGAACTCTAAACCCCAATCGCCTAAGCCCATAACCACTAAACCCTAAACCCCAGAGGGTTCTTCTGTCGCACTGTCCACTGATGTCGGGAGCTGAGGATTCTGAAAGACACAAAGGCGCGATGCCGGGCCATCTTTCCCGTAATGCAGGGGCCTTAATGATTAGAATAGGGTTTTGGGGGTTCCTTATCATAGTTATAGTATAACAAAACCCCAAACTCTATTCTAAATATAAGGGCCCCTACATCAGGTTTCGGGGGTAGATTGAGCAGCATCCGTGCACTTATTGCTGCATGCAGCCCAGTGAGGGTTTCTCGGACGCTTCCCTTTCCCTTGCACCGGCTCCGTTGCAGGGGTTGTATAGTTTTTTTGTAACCCTAAACCCTAAACCCTAAACCCTAAACCCTAGACCCTAAACCCTAAACCCTAAACCCTAAACCCTAGACCCTAAACCCTAAACCCTAAACCCTAAACCCTAAACCCTACAGGACAACGTACTGCACAGGCTGTCATTCCCCAGTCCTTCGCGCCCTTCATGGTCTGGCGAGACAAAGTGACGCTGGACTGGGACGACGAGGCCTGGTGACTTAGGGGTGGAACCGGGAGGACACCGGGTGCTTTTGGGGTTCTGGGACGGCCGAGGTTTGAGGCTTGAGGGCGAGGATTGTGGGGCTTACACTTCGGGCTGTATCGGGTCTTGTTTCGGAATGAACCCTAACCCTAAACCCAAACCCCCTCCAACACCCGAGTCGGAGTACCGGGGCCGCCTTTCCGGCCTCAAAGTAGTTCCGTTTTGGGGGTTCATATTGGGTAGTTGCCAAAATTATGGTCCCTTTTGGATCCCTATCATAATACGGCACCTAATATTCAGGGTACCCAGAAAGGGGCCAAAGTTTCTGACCACCACCCATATATAGAATCCTATAAGGTAATCCCAAAAAGGAACTACTATGGGGCATGGGTAGTGGGTTTAGGGTTTAGAAAACTTTAGGGGTTTCGCCGAAGGACGCGGCACGGTTCCAGGTCGAGGTGTCGCAACCATTTTTTATGGGACGAATTCAATCCCAGACTCTACACCTTGGAGCCTTATTAAGCCCTAAACTACACCTTAAGCCCGCACCCTAAACCCTACACCCCAACCCCCAGATCCAAACTTACCGAAACCCCGTAGAGTAGAAGCCCGCAAATTCAAAATCCCATAGCCTCAATCCTTAAGAGCAGTGTATACGCAATCCCAGAACTTTATGGGGTTTACTGTAACATCAACGGGGCTTAAATATAAGGGCCTTATCATTAGAACAGGGTTCCTTCAAGGGTTCCTTTTAAAAGGGGCGTATATGGATTACTATAAGGGCTACTATAAGGATTTCATACAGGGGGCCTTCATAATCAGAGCGGGGTTTTAAGGGGCTTTTTTGGATTACTATAATGGTCCCCTAAACCCTAAACCCTAAGCCCTAAAATCCTAAACCCTAAACCCTAAACCCTAAACCCCAAACCCCAAACCCTCAAACCCCCAAAATAAGGGAGCCAAAAACCTGCCCAGGTGAAGCAGGGTCTCCTTGAGATGGACGACACGGCCGAGGGAGGGACCGCCAGCCGGCAATGTCTTGTCTTGTTTTTTTTTTTGTTTTTGCTTTTGGGGTTTCGGGTTTAGGGTTTAGGGTTTAGGGTGTGGGGTTTAGGGTTTAGGGTTTGGGGGTTTGGGTTGAGGGTTTAGGGTTTTAGGGTTTCGGGTTTAGGGTTTGGGGTTTGGGGTTTCGAGGTTAAGGTTTAGGGTTTCGGGTTGAGGGTTTGTTGGGGTTCAGGGTTTCGGGTTTAAGGTTTAGGGTTTCGGGTTGAGGGTTTGGGGTTTGGGGTTTCGAGTTTAGGGTTTGGGGTTTGGGGTTCAGGGTTTCGGGTTTAAGGTTCAGGGTTTAGGGTTTAGGGTTTGGGGTTCAGGGTTAAGGATTAGGCTTGACTTGCCTGTTTACGTAATTATATATAGGATGATAGACCCAGGTGTTGCTTGTTGTTGTTGCTTTTGGAGGGGTGGGGGGTCATTCAATGATTTGTCCGAGACCCTAAACCCTTAACCCTAAGCCCTGCTACACTATAAACCCTAAACCCTAAGCCCTATTACACTGCCAACCCTAAACCCTAAGCCCTATTACAGTGAAAACCCTGTATAAGAACCCCGTTCGGCGAGAGTAGGGTACCCTAAGGTTCTTAATTTCCATTACATGCGATTTTGCCGTTCGAGCAGCTAGGGTAGGCTCAGGTTCTTAACCACGTTCTTATCCGGACCGAGGTCTCGGGAGATTTACTTTTGGATTCTAAATTTCCTTGTGGGGGTGGATGGGCCATGGGGGTCTGGAAAATTTAATTTGCAATTCTAAATTTCCACAGCTCTTCGAAAGGACTCGGGGCAGAGGGCATGGCCAGAGACCCGATGTTTGGAATTCGTGGGCAAGGCAATTTTGCACCGAAATTTCCTTGCCCACGAATTCCAAATATCTGGCAATTCTGCAAGAGTCTATTGCACCAATAAGCGACACAATTCTGCAAGAGATTTCCATTCCTAAGGCCCCAATAAGCGAAACCATTCTGCAATAAGTTTTCCTTTTCACGCCCCAATTAGCGAAACAATTCTGCAAGAGATTTCCATTCCTAACGCCCCAATAAGCGAAAGAATTCTGCAAGAGGTTTTCCTTTTCACGCCACAATAAGCGAAACACTTCTGTAACAGGTTTTGCTTCCTAACGCCACAATAAGCGAAACAATCGGTTAACAAATCCATTCCTAAGTGTAGGTGCAACAACGCAAGCATTGACTGCAAACTGGACAACAACGGACATCAACAAAATGGGCTATTCTTTTCTTAGAGCGCTAAGCTGTCCTGGCCCTTACTGCAAAATGCACAACAAAGGACATTAACAAAATGGGGCCAGTATTTTCTCAGAAAGCTAAGCTGCCCACCCATGGTGTTTCGCTTAGTGGTAGTGCAGAACATGTGTCTGTTCTGTAGTTTCTGAATGATTTTGGTGTATATTCATAAAACGATTACGCTGCGAAAACTCGACAGCGACTTTTTGAAGCTTGGGTTAGTTTATGTTAACAATGTTAATGTTGTGCTCTCGTTCGGTGATAGTAGTTTTAAGCTGTGAAAGAAGTGAAACTTTGTATTTTCTCAATGTTATGGGATTCAAAGGGTGGGTGGGTGTTATTTCTAAACCGTAAACACAACTCTACTTCAAAACTGCTCGATCCGGAGCTGCTGAACCCTAAATCCTAAACCCTATACCCTAAACCGTACCTAAGGTAAATGCCTCCGCCTGGATTGCTGAGCAGCCCGGGGGTCAACACCTCCGGCCGGCACCGCGGGACCAACATTTCTCAGGGATCTCTCCTGTTTGGGTCTTTAAATGGGTTTATGGCTTCCTTTAAGGGTCCCTTTAAAGGGATCTATAAGGATTCTATAAGGGTATAGGGTTTAGGGTCTACTTGGAGGTTATGGGTGGTTGTCAAAATTACGGTTCCTTTTTCGGGTCCCTAATATAGTAACGGTACCTAATATTTAGGGTGCCCAAAAAGGTACCATAATTTTGACAACCACCCTGTTTGGGGTACGATTTAGCTTGAATGGTTGGTTTAGGGACAGTCTACAGGGTTTAGGGTTGAGGGGTCCGGGGGGGCAGGCTCCAAGTTGTTGTTAATAACGAGTTTGGGTACTTACTATAGGCGTGTGGTTAGCGCAGTGTCACGAGGACTTGCACTCTTCTAGGTTTCTTGTGAAGAGTACCCCGCTAGGGTTTCTTGAGCAGTTTGGCCCTTATGCGCTGCTACGTAGCTAGCAACCCTAAACCCTAAACCCCTAAACCCCTAAGCCCCAAACCCCAAAACCCTACACCCCAAACCCGAAACCCATAAACCCCAAACCCCAAAACCCTACACCCCAAACCCGAAACCCCTAAACCCCAAACCCCAAAACCCTAAAGCCTAAACCCTGAGCCGCCGGTCCTGAAGCTTGTAGACAAGCTTTGCTAAGGCAGGCAATGGCTGGGTCGTCATGCTTTGGGAGCATCTTCATAAGCACCTGCCTATTGCCAAGGCTCGGGATGTTTGGGTCTCGGGGTTTAGGGTTCAGGGTTTGGGTTTGGGGGTTTAGGGTTTGGGGGTTTAGGGTGTAGGGTTTAGGGTTTAGGGTTCAGGGCCCGGACATGAGGGTTAGTGGCTTTTCGGTGTTTAGGATGGAAGGTTGCGCCCCGTTTACATGCCTCATCTTCCTTTTTCGACAAGCTATGACTTATGTGGGGAGCCGTTCCCATTGAAGCAAGTTGAAGCTTAAGAGCTTCAAGACTCAAGACTCGAGAATAAGACACAGTCTTCCTTTTAAATCCCGAAGAGTGCGTAGTCAAGGCAGAAATTCAAACCGATCTGAAGTGCGTTTGCAGAGAGGCATGAATAACTGGACTACCTAGGGTTCCGAAAATTGGGGGTACCTTCTTTAGGGTCCCTATAATAAGGATCCTACTATTTGGGTACTATATTGGGGTCCCCTATTTTCGGAAACTCCCAAACCTCAACCCTGAACCCTACCCATAGGCCCCAAAGCAGTTCCTTTTTGGGGGTTCTTTTATAGAATTCTGCAAGGTAATCCCAAAAAAGAACTACTATGGGGCCCATGGGTAAACCCTAAATCTTAAACCCGTAACCCTAAACCCCCCAACTACCCGATATTGTAGCCACATTAGAGCCCTTTAAAGGGTACTTGGGGGGTTCTGGGTAACCCTAAACCCTACACCCAAATCCCAAAACCCTAAACCCTAAACCCTAAGCCCTACACCCCAAACCCTCAAAGCTCAATGCTAGAGCCCGAAGTCTGCTATCTTGCGTTTCATTTCGGCGCGACGGAGGATCCGCAGATGCCGATAGAGTCGTTCCTCGATATGCATCCTGGGCGCACTCGATTCGGTCCGGCTTATATAGAGTTCTCTAGTTTTCTATCGGGATTTTGTTGAAGCGCTCTTAGACGTTATTTCTAGAATCCTACACGTCTACACGGCTTTTGTGTAGGGCTTAGGGTGGATTCGCGTAGAGGCCTTGCGGTTTCGGGTTCAGGTCTCGGAGGTTTCGGGTTTGGGGTTTCGGGTTTAGGGTTTAGGGTTTAGGGTTTAGGGTGGATTCCTTATTTTCGAATTTGGGAGTTTCCGAAAATTAGGGGTACCTTACTTTGGGGTCCTTATTATAAGGGTCCTACTATTTAGGGTACTATACTAGGGTCCCCATGTTCGGAAACTCCCATTTAGGGCTTCCGGTGGCAGACTCTGGCATTTGCTGCCCAGCACCTATCGACCCCTAGACGGTCTAGGGCCTCTAGGGTCTGTGGGGTTTATTATAGTATCCTTATGGGAGGGGGCTCCAAGGGGGGTAGGTAACCTACTAATCCCTAGTTCTCTCCAGTGCTCCCTAAGGCCCCCTCCAGGTTCCCTAAGGATCCCTTGTACCCTCCCCCCTTGAACCACCCTCCCTTAAGGACCCTATAAGTTTAGGGTTTCGAACTTCCCAGCGCTTGAAGCGTGCTGAGGATTTCTCTAAGCCTTTCAGAAATATGGTCATTGCAATCTTCTAGTAGCCCTCAAATCAGTAACCCTAGCTTTGAGTTGTAAGCATGCAATATAGGGGCCTTAATAATTGCATGTACTATTTCGGGGGGTTCCTTATTGTAATTCTAGCATAATGGGCCCAAACTTGAGGCCAGTATAGTACTTGCCCTTACACCCTAAACCCTACACCCTACACCCTAAACCCTGAAAGGGTACAGTAGAAGCCCAAAATTTGGGAAACCGATAGCCTCGATCCTTAAGAGCAGTTTATAGGAAATCCCAGCACTATTTGGCCTTAATCCGGTTTCCAACTTTATGAGGTTTACTATAATATGAACGGGGCTTAATACGAGGGCCCTATAATTAAAATCAGGTTACTTTTAAAGGGGCTTATACGGATTACTATAAGCGCTGTTAGGGGCCTTCATAATTAGAATGGGGGTTTGGGGCTCTCTAGGCATGTCGATTTCTGCCCTCCGCCGGGCTGAGGTATCCCGAGCTCTGTCTAGCTGGGCTTCAGCGGATGGTGTGCAGCCCCCAGAACTTGAGGGTTCAGAGTGTTTGCCTTCAGGGCCCAGGGTTTAAGGATAAGGGTTTAGGGTGTAGGGTTTAGGCGGTTTTAGGTGAAGAAGAAGGCAATGAGGGTAGTCTCATCGCGCAGCTGAGTAGTAAGCCTGAAGTGCAAGCGGAATCTTGTGGTATCATTAGGCAGTCAAAGAATGCCAGTAGTGCTAGCAGGAGAGCGAGACACAGTCAATGAATAGCATCGATATTATGGCTGCCTCTCCTGCGACTCCGACTGGCAAGAATAAACCTTAAACAGCGCACTCTAGAACCGGGGTTAGCGAACACGGAAAGAAGGCTCCTGGTATGAGGCCCAATTAAAAAATGGGGTTTGTTCGGGTCTCCATTACCCTAAGCCCGTAAAGTAACCCCTACAAAACCCCTTATTAACCTTGAAAGGAACCCCATTCTAACTATCCATCACGGGTCTACATTCCCCTAAGGCCTAAACCCTAAACCCTAAATTGCCCTAAAGCCTAAACCTCAAATAACCTCACCCTACACCCTACATTCCCTTCAGCTCCGTCGACCTAGCATTCGTTTCACCATCCGGGTAGTTCTTTGAAGTAGGGTCGCTTTACAGGTCCTCAATATGGTACGGCACCCTGATAAAAAGGACGCTAAAAGGGTCAGTCATTTTTCGAGAACTACCCATATAGTGCCCTCGTAGAAACCCTAAAGAAACCCTTAGAGATCCCTTCAAGGAACCTTGAAAGGGACACTAATTTGGGAGTTTCCGAAAATTAAGGCCCCGTATTTTGCGGTCCTTATAATGAGGATCCTACTATTTAGGGTGCTATATTCAGGTTCCCCCATTTTCGGAAGCTCCCATTTCGAAAACTACCCTTTTTGTCAGGCCTGGCCTGGCCCAGTACGAGGGTCAGCTGGGCCGGGACACCGTTGTGGACGGAGGCGCCAGGGTTTAGGGTTCAGGGCTCAGGGTTTAGGGTTTGTGGGGGGATTTTGTAACTTCGGGCTTAGGGCCCCTTTAAGCGATCTATAAAGGGGTACGATAAGGGTTTAGGGGTTGAGGGTGTAGGGTTTAGGGTGAGGGTGTAGGTATTAGGGGGCCGGGCTTAACTTGTTCAGCACCACACCCTCCTAGAGCTCCTTCGCATATGTGGCGACTTTACGCAGGTTTGTTGTTTATAAGGGCTAGAGCTCGCTCTCAAGAGTGAGGCTGTTGTAACAAGTCGCAACGGCGTTTCAACAGATGAAGACGTAGGCCTGGGAACAAACCACAAGCTTTTCCGAGGCACGCAGAGGCAGGTTTGCAGCTGCTTAAAGTGGTGCCGGAAGTACAGAATCATTTTGCAAGAAGACGAGAACAGCCAAAACCGAGTCATTCTGTAAGGATAGTAGAACAAGATAGTATCACCCAAAACCCTATTCTAAGTATTAAGGGCCCTCTGTTAAACGGGTCCAGAGGCTTCCCGAGGCGCAGGACAGGAGCTAGGAATTAGGACCGCTGTCAAGCTTATGCATACACACATGGATTAACTACATAGTCAAACAAATACCCATCTATCTACCTAGCTATCTACCTATCTATCGGTAGGAAAGGTTTGAGGTATACGGCCTCAAGGGTTGAGGGTGTATTGGTGCTTTTAAAATTGAACTGGTGCTAGGCTTTCGCCTTCAAGAGATCCTGTGGTGTTCTCCCGCTCTCCAAACATAGTACCTGAGGACTCGAAGACAGTAACATGTTAGATTGCTATAGCATGTCGTTTACGGGGGTCTTGTTAAGGGATTTAACTTAAGTTACCACGATAAGGGAAGACTTCATACGGTTGATGATACAAATCCTGCATGACCCACAATAAGGAGTATTCCATAATTCCCATAGTCTAGGGTCCTTAAGGTAATGCAGGGTTTTTATCATCAACCCTAAACCCTAAACCCTATAGATCCCTTAAGGAGCCCCTTAACTTAAAGGGACCCTTATAGATCCCTTTAAATTACCATGATAAGGGAAGACTTCATTTTATTGTAGTCCCATAGTATGGTGACCCTCAGCGCTAGCTCGCATTGGCCGGGCCGTCGTTTCCAAGTCTCGAATGTGGTCGCTGGGTTCTGGGTCTTTAAATGGGGTTTATGGCTTCCTTTAAGGGTCGCCTTAAAGGGATCTATAAGGATTCTATAAGGGTAATTATAGGGTTTAGGGTCTACTTGGAGGTTCATGGATGGTTGTCAAAATTATGGTTCCTTTTTGGGTCCCTAATATATAGTACGGCACCTAATATTTAGGGTACCCAAAGAGGGACCATAATATTGACAACCACCCATATAAAGGTCTGAACACCTGGTTCTTCTCTCCTTCTGCGGTTCGGTTACGATCATAGTGCTGCCCCGACTCAGCAACAGTTGGGTAATATGTATAGCAAAAAGAGACATAAGGCGCTTATAGATGTGCAAAGCGCCTAATAGTAACCTTACCATGGACTGCTACTGTATGGGGGCAGTACCCGAATCGTACACATTCGATGCACAAGCCTCGGCCATGCCCCAACACTTGGTTCCATCCATGGCAAGCGTCCCTCCGAACCCACAACCCCGAACTCCAAGCCCTGCTGGAATGCCATACATACATGCACGTATATATATATATATATATGGACACACCCCCCCCCATGACCTACCTCGGCCTCTTTTCCATTGTAAATACCGTCAAAACCTTCTCTTGGCAGGGATTCGCGTTTGGCATACGATTCGTGTTTTGCGTAATTTTCGGTGATGATACCTTCTCTATCATGGCTGATGTGAAGTCATGTCTCTTTACAACGTCGTGCCTACTCATGTCCGCTTTCAAATTCATATGCCTGTATTCATAAGCAAGAAACATTAAAAGAAACCACACGATACGACGGCGGAAACCAAAAAACCAAAAATCCAAAAATCCAAAGCCTTTCTGAGGGGCCCGAAACTTTTGGATTTTTTGGTTTTCCTAGGTCTTTTTTGGTTTTTTGGGCTTTGCCTTGGCGAAACCATGGTTTTTTTTGGATTTTCGGTGGAAAACCAAAAAACTCAAGGGTTTTTTGGTTTTTCTGCTGTGTCTCTGGTGCAAAACCAAAAAACACCTGTGTTTTTTTGGATTTCTGCTGAAAAACCAAAAAAACCTTGGATTTTTTTGGTTTTCTGCTGGAAAACCAAAAAAACCCTAGGAAAACCAAAAAATCCAAAAGTTTCGATCCCCCTGACAAAGGTTTTGGATTTTTGGATTTTTGGTTTTGTGGTGTTTCGGCGGAAACCAAAAAACCAAAAATCCAAAAATCCAAAGCCTTTCTGAGGGGCCCGAAACTTTTGGATTTTTTGGTTTTCCTAGGTCTTTTTTGGTTTTTTGGGCTTTGCCTTGGCGAAACCATGGTTTTTTTTGGATTTTCGGTGGAAAACCAAAAAAACTCAAGGGTTTTTTTGGTTTTTCTGCTGTGTCTCTGGTGCAAAACCAAAAAACACCTGTGTTTTTTTGGATTTCTGCTGAAAAACCAAAAAAACCTTGGATTTTTTTGGTTTTCTGTTGGAAAACCAAAAAAACCCTAGGAAAACCAAAAAATCCAAAAGTTTCGACCCCCCTGACAAAGGTTTTGGATTTTTGGTTTTTTGGATTTTTGGTTCTCGGAGCCTTAGAGCCAATACAGCGCGCAGCATGCTTGATCGGAAATGGTTTCGTTGTTTACGCGCAGTAGTCTTCAGATTTGCATTAGGCATTAGTGTTAGTATTAGTATCTGCGTTCTAGCGTGTTGATTAGTGTTACTGTTAGTGTTGGTGTCAGTGTCAATGTCAATTCCAATGTCAGCGTTAGTATTAGTCTGAATATAAGTCTATACAATAGGTGTACTAATGGTAGTGTTAATGTCTAGTGTGAGATTTAGTATTCGTATTAGTCTTGGTCTTAGTCTCTGCCTTTTTCTTAGCGTTAATATTAACCAGTGTATAGTCTCATATCAGTATATTCTGTATTTGTAAGTCTATGGTAACATTGGAATAGTAGTATACGAGTATATTATTTATTGGCATGTGAAAATACAGATTCTTTGGTACATTGATGTGTCTGTTTTTTGTATTTGGTTTGAACGTGATTATTAGTATTCGTAGGAGCATTAATATTGGTATCAATAGCAGTATCGCTGTTCATACTATGCATAATCGTATTAGCTGGAGTATCAATCATGTTAGTGTAGGTTTTTTTAATGTGAACATAAATACTGAGAATAATTAATGAGACTATGCGCATTAATCTGCGGAGGAACTGTATCACTTATGTGCATATTAGTATTGATGTTAGCATGTGCGTGTATATTGGTAACAAATAAATACTAAAATTACTATCAATATGGGTATGTTTTTTAATATTCGTAGGAACACTAGTATTCATATTCGTATCGGTATTACTGAAAGTACCCGTCTTCGTAAAAGTATTTGTAATCATACTATTTCATATCAGTACGAGTATTAAGATGAATTATGATGCGCATATGAATACTTTCGAAGGAAATGCTGACCTTAATACGAATACCCATATTAATGTTCTATTATGTATAATCGCAGTAGCCTGAGTATTGGTATGAATATTCGGACAAGTATTAGTATTCCAAACAACTAGTACTATTAGTATTCATATTGAGAACAGTTAATAAGAATATGCGTATTAGTATCCCCAGGAGTGTTAATATTCCCATCAGCACTACTATTCGAATTAGTAGTGTAATTTTTAATACTAGTATTAACCATTAAGCCTATTATGTTATGAACAGTAATATCCTTATTCGTAGGAATAGAAATCTTAGTATCAGTATTAGTATTCGCACTAGTAATAGCTATTATACACATTGGCGCATGAGTAACCTAAGAGCTTCACACAGAATAAACATGTGTGCACATGTAACCCTCATTACGATCCTAGGTAGGATGCACACATCGTTCTGTTTTGGTCCCGTCTTTGGGTTATGCCTATGAGTACATGAACAAAATTGAAAACAGACAATGGCAAACACAAAGTTACCCGGCGCATCTAACGATCTTACGTAGGACGCAGACACTGTTCTGTCTTGGTCCTGTCTTCGGGTTATGCCTATGGTCATTATATGACCAGAGTTATGAATATCCGGAACATTTAGGCAGTATCCTATTAAACAATTGCAGGCATTGAAGCTTGCCCAAATCCGCCAACGGCGATGTCGCGCCGTCGTAGGTCATTACAGTGTATTCAGCTATTGATTATACACGATATATGTTTCCACTGTTTATGTATGAGTGTATTTTATCCTAATGGTTTCCTCAAATCCTTACATGTTCTACTACCCATTGCTAGCCGAAGCACCTCGCGGTAGGTCTTGGGGGGGGGTGTGAGCATATATATATATATATATAACTGGCAGTACATGTAGCATATATATATATGCACACACACACACACAAACTTACGTAGAAATACATGCATGCATGCGTGCATGCATGTACACCTACTTGTTACCTGCACGTGTATGTATGTATGGATGTATGTATGGATGTATACACACACACACACGCACACGCACACACGCACAACACAACTGCCAGGTTACTATACCAACACCCCCGACGGGCGTCCACTTATCGGCCCGCACGGTTGTCGAAACTTCTTCCTCTGCGGTGGCTGGGGGCCTCGGGAGCTTCTATTGGGTACTATAGGGCTTTAGGGCTTTGGGGCTTTGGGGCTTTAGGGCTTGGGGGTTTAGGGCTTTAGGGCTTTAAGGGTTTAGGGCTTAGAGGTTCAGAGTTTAGGGCCTTAGGGTTTTAGGGCTTTAGGGCTTTAGGGTTTGGGGCTTTAGGATTTAGGGTTATGGTTTTGAAGTGGGGTTTTGGGTCTTAGGGTCTAGCGCTGGCATGACGTAGGATTTAGGGTTCAGGATTTTGGATTCCGGATTCAGGACCTAGTTGTCCGGCTTCTACGGCCAGACCTTTGTCGGCAGAGCGTTTTGGTGTCCAACAGCTTCTTCGGTTGCTTGGGCTTGCAAGGACTCGGCTTCATCGACAGCACCTGTTGTGCCCACTTCAGGTCGCTCAGCTCCTAAAATAAACTTCGCCGCGGCGGCGTCGTCTGCTCTCCGATAGCTGGTGTGGCTCCTCTAAATTGTTCCGGCTTGCTGGCATCTACACAGCTTCAGTGCCTCGGGTGACCTTCAAGCTGAGCTCGATTGCTACGAGGAAGGGAAGAACACATGGAAGACTGCCTTGGGCAGCCCAGGCGGAATTGCGGCTTAGAATGGCACGTGATGTCTTGCTAGGGGTGGGTTGGGGCGCGCTGCTGTTGAATTTCTTGTGCTTTTCAGTCCGAGCTCTAGCGTGGTAAAGGCAAAATAGCAAGGAGTAGAAAGCGCTTCTCTGCTGGAGGGTTAATAAACCTTGCTGCCGGACAGTGCTCAGACTTTGTCTCGCTGTGCGGTCTACCCGAGTCTACCCCTTTCCTGCAAAACACCAGCGTCATTTTTGTCCAGCAGAAATCCAGCGGAGCGGGGGCACGTGCATCGGGCCCTCGACAGTGGAAACAGGGGGATCCCCTCTGGGACCTTCCTTGGCCCGCAACCTCGCTGCTTTGGTTCAGAACGACGAAGGAACCACTAACGCTGGAGTGCTGGGCCGTAGGCATTCTGAAGCCGGAGGCGATCCTCGATCCAGATTTTTTAGCGGCGGAGGACTTGCGGTCTGATCGAAGCGAACTTATCAACAGGCCCGAGATTGGCGCCAGCATGTTGGCTGGATCCCTATTGGGTTTGCACAAAAGCCTTCAAGAAGTTTTTGCTTCGGGCTTCTTTGGGGAAAAGTTCGTCAATGGCTTCGAAGGCTCTGGACTGCTTTCGATTTGACCAGCCATGTCGATCTCTTGAATCTCGCCGACTATCCGGACTTGGAGCGCTCTCAGGAAACCATCGAAAATCCAGTTAAGACGGTCCTCAAGTTCACGTGCAAGGTCTCGACCTGTGGCCGCTGTTCGCGGAAAGGCATGCCGGGACATGGGTTCACGAATGAGGCACTAGGATATTTCTTCGGATAGGGATCGGCTCGCACGCTTTCTTTTTCTAGTAACCTTCTATAGCGAGTGCTTTATGGAGCGCGCTCAAGCCAGCCTTACAGCCGTTTCGAGTGACAAGCTACCACTCAACGCATTACCTTGAAACTTTCACAGTAATGGGTTGGGTGGTAGCTTGTGTGCGGTCACAGCGGGTGGGCAAAAGTATCAAGAATCGAGTAACAAGTGTACAGCATCATACTGTAGACGTGGATGGGGCCCCCCTCACGTTGGGGCCCAGGCCGCATTAAATTTCCTCTGCTGTTTGGCGAAACACCCTAAGCACAAAACACCAAACCAAAAACCTTAAAACCCAAACCCTTTCAAACCCTAAACCCTAACTCCCTAAACCTTAAACCCTAACTCCCGAAACCCGGAAGCCGTAAAGCCTAAACCTTTTCCTGAACCTTGAACCCTAAACCCTAACTCCCTGAACCCGGAAGCCTTAAAACCCAAACCCTCCCCTAAACCCTAAGCCGTAAACGTATACACCGCCTCAGGCATGGGCACCTACGGCCTAATGGGCTCGCCTGCAGCAGGTGCAAGTGGAAGTAAGGGCTACAAAGACACAATATCAGATAATGATATGATGAATGAATTTCTGATTTGATTCGATGCTGGCTTATACTTTTTAGTAACAGCACCCTTGGGCGTGAGGTTTGGTGATTTCCGGTTGAGGATTTGGAGGGGCGAAGCCCTGCACCGCAAACCTCTGAACGTGCCCCAGGCCCGTAGTTCGTACTTGGAGGGTCGGGGGACTTAGTAAGTAGGAAGTAAGTAAACTTATAAGTACCCTGAAAGGGACCCTAATTGGGGTTATGGTACTTATAAGTCCCTAAAATAACCAGTTGCTAAGTCCCCCGACCCTCCAAGTAGGTCTTGGGCCCGTACGAATGCCGGTATCTTCCTGCAAGGTGGCCTATAGGGCGTCGTCGTCTGGAAGCGTTTGACCTTAAGCCGTCAACCCTCAGTTTAAACCCTAAACCCTACAGCCGAAGCCCCAAACTGATAATGACTACCTCTACCATTTTGGGGGTTCCTTATTATACTTATAGTATAGTGGGCTTCAATACCCAGTCTAAGTATTCAGGCTCCCTACAATACTTGCCCGTACACCCTAAACCCTGCACCCTAAACCTAGTTATTCAGGCCCCCTATAGTAGAGCCTCCAGAGAGCCCTCATCGGAAGCCTGTATCGGGACCCTGAATTTTCGAAGCGAAAAAGTGAAGATCGACAGTCTGGTTCCGGCTCAGGGTTTCGGGTTGAGGATTTTGGGATTTAGGGTTTAGGCGTTTGGGATTTAGGATTTAGGGGGTTTAGGGTTTAGGTTTTGGCATTTAGGGGTTATAGGGTTTTGGGATTCAGGATTTAGGGTTTAGGGTTTTGGGATTTAGGGTTTAGGGTTTAATTAAGGTTTTGGGATTTAGGGCTTACGGTTTAAGGTTTTGGGATTTAGGGTTTAGCTTGCGGTTTGAGGTACCCATGGGTTGTGAGCCAGGGGTCCTGGGCCACAGGCTCTAGCGCTCTTTGGCTCATCGTCGCGCGTCATAGTGTCTCAGGGTTTCGTGTTTCAGGGCTCGAGGAAATATTCAGGATTCGGGCCCGTAAACCCTCAATCCTAAACCCGTTTCTGGACCCGCAAGTCAACCCAAGACTCCAAAGCGTGCCTGCAGGGTTCCGAGCCCGAAACTCTAAACCTTAGACCCCAGACCTTTTAGCCCTAAGCTCTAACTCCTAAGCCCCAAACCCTAGACCCCAGGCCGTAAACCCTAAGCTGCAAAACCCCGAACCCGAAACCCTGAAGCTCTTCTCCCTTTCTTCCTCCTTCTTCTGAAGCCTCTCCGGCTTCTCGCCTTCTCTCCGCTGTCCGCTCTCTCCTCGAGGCATGCCCGGAGTCGCTCGAGAGCGCCTCAGGCAAGAAGCGAGGGCAATGGAGCGTTGTTCGCTACATGGAAAGGGTGAAGGCGGCCACTGGCCTGGTAAAGGATTCTGTGGGAGAGATGATGTGGCTCAAATTATACATAGAGTTCGCCCAAACGATCCGCGAGGAGGGCGATTGACCGACGACCAGGCCTTTGCGAAGTGGAAGCAATGGGAAGAGCAGAAGAACCGCGGCGAGCAAATTCTTCATGATTTCGGAGGACCAGACAACAGCAAGTTGCGGTTTTGGATAAGAACCGCTGACGCCCTTGTCTATCCTAGACTCCCTAGACCCCAAACCCGAAACCCCCAAACCTGCCCGGGCTTTGGATTCTGAGCTTCAGCGCAGGTGAGCTTGCAGCGATGCACGTCTTGAAGGAGCAGCTCCCGGACTATGCGTGGCTTGGGCCATGTTTTTGGTGCACCCGAGTCTGGGTAGTTTTCAAAAGTAGGGTCCCTTTTGGGGGTACCCTAAATAGTAGGTGCCGTAATATATTAGGGACCCAACAAAGGGACCATAAGTTTGACACCCACTCTAGTATGTATCCCAACACCCCGTTTTGATCGCGAAGGTCCCGTTGGCAAAGGCAATACACCCTGTGCAATCCTAAACAATTCCTGAAAACACCAGTGTAATATAGGGGCCTTAATAAAGACCTATACTGTTTTGGAGTTCCTTAATATAAATGTAGTATAAGATATCCCCAAACCCTAATTGTTTAGGCCCCTGTTTTTGTATGCTGCATTACGGTTTTCGGCCGGCCCCTTCCATCGACCGGCCCAGACTATCGAGCTTCCATTGGCCAAACTAGCTGGAGTCCCAAACTCGAACAGGGTCGAGGGTTTGGGGGTGTTAGGGTGTTAGGCTTCCAGGTTTGGGTGTTTCGGTTCAGGGCTTTAGGATGTCGGATTAGGGTTTAGGATTTAGGGGAGTGCATGTGGCCAAGCCCAGGGCTGCCCCCGATCCCGAGTGTAGAATAGTAGGCGAGAAGCTGCACACAAGGTTTTGGGGGCACATTATACTCTAATTTAACGGGGTCTGTAAGGATTACTATAAGGGCTACTGTAAGGATTTAATATGGGGGCGTTATTAATTAGAATAGGGTTTCGGGGCACATTATACTAGAATTACAATAAGGGCCCCCCCCCAAATAGTATTGGTAATAATTTAGGCTCCGATATCAAATCTTCGCCAAGCAGTCCGAACGTTGAAGTACAACTCGCAGACTACGAGGGAGCACAAAGCTTGAGACAGCGTGCAATTATGCATCGGTGAGATGGGTACTCTTAGCTTTCACTGCTGCGTCGCAGCATCAGAGCGGACCCTAAACCCTAAAACCTATTTTCCGAGCCCGAAGTCAGCCTAAACCCTATGCCCGAGATGGGAGTTTCCGACAATAGGGGACCCCAATATAGTACCCTAAAAAATGGGATCCTTGTTAAATAAGATACCCTAATTTTCGAAACTCCCATATAGTACCCTAAATAGTAGGATCCTTATTATAAGGACCCCCAAATGGGTACCCCTAATTTTCGGAAACTCCCATATAGTACCCTAAATAGTACGGTAAAAGCCAGAAAGTTGGAATATGATTATCCTAACCCTTCTATGGCAAATTATATGGTATCCTACCATGAATCCATATTCCAACTTTCTGGAGTTCCCTGTAAAGGAACCCTAAACCCTTTTATAGAACCCTTATAGATCCCTGTAAAGGAACCCTTAAAGGAGCCCAAAACAAGGTACCCTAGTAGGATCCCCGAAGCCTCCGGGGCCACGTTGAGGTCTGCGTGCGTTTGGCCTCGAAGCAGCCGAAAAACTGAGCCCTTGGTGGACCTGTTGCTTGTCATGTGGGTTATTGTCAAAATTATGGTCCCTTTTTGGGTACCCTAAAGAATAGGTGCCGTACTATATTAGGGACCCAAAGAGGGACCATAATTTTGACAGCCACCTGTTGCTTGTCATGTATCCAAAGGCCCCCAAAGTAGTTCCTTTTTGGGGCTCGTTTGTAGAATCCTATAAGGTAATCCCCAAAAAGAAACTACTTTGGGGCCTCTGGGTATTGCTTACGGCCGTTTAGTTTCATGATTTCGGTTCACGGTTTCAGGATTTCGGTCCTTGGTTTAGGTTTGGGCGTCAGGGTTTAGTTTCGGGTGACAGGGCTAGGGTTAATGGGCCACTGGAGCCCCTAGTTACTCAAGCGCGTTGGGGTTTCTTGAGGCGGTGTATCATCGCATGAGGTTGAGCAAGTAAGGTTTGGGGTTGCGGTGTACTACAGCTGTCGAGGAACGACGTGAAGAAACGGAGTTCTGTAAAGGTCTTGCGGCATCTGAACCAATTTCTGGCGACCCCCGAAGAAAGTCTCCAAACCCTGAGCCCCAAAACGGGCCCGAATCAAATCCCCAAACGCTCAATGTCTTTGGAGTAGAGCCCCCATCCTTTGAATATGGAGGCTCGTCGTCTACTTTAGAATTCTGAAGCGGTTTAGGGTTAAGGGCGAATAGTAGAAGTACAAGACGCTTGTGAAAAGCACTCTATGTTCGGGTTGTGGGATAGAAGGGCTTTCGTATCTCAAAGTAGGAGTCTCAGACGAACCCGAAGAACTGAGCAACTCAAACCGCATGTTCTCGAAATCATGCCACAGTTGCTGTTCATAGCCCGTGCTTGGATAGACTTATGGGTCGCACGAAGCCTTCGTACAGCAATTGCACTCCCGGAGAAAGCACAGATGTCGTACTGGATGAGGCTAGATGACTCGAGCTGATTGGCTGGCTGTCTGGCGCAAAGATCGCCGGGCGAGAGATTCCCCACTTGCATAGTCAACAATTTTTGTTTTGGCCGCTTGTTGTGCGCTTGAGAGCGCCCAGACAAATCAACATGCTGGCTTTTTACTTTTGTTAGGTCTCGGGCCCTTCGTCAAAACTACTTCCAATGCTGTATGCGAATGAGGATCCGGGCAAGCCAGATGCAAAGGTGCATGTAAGCAGACCGGACAGTTGGGCATGTTGAGCGGGAAGATGTTGCTTGTCACGGCTTTCGGGCTTTCCGGGAAGACCCTAAACCCTGAACCCTAAACGCCTCTGCTTTGCTTTGCAGTCCGAGAGCCTCAAACTCCAATGCCTGGAAAACCTCAGACTGGTCACTTTGTGTGCTTACTGAGCCTTCCATCATATGGGTAGTTGTCAAAATTAGGGTCCTTATTATAATACGGCACTTAACATTTAGGGTACCCAAAACGGGACCATAATTCTGACAACCACCCATATGGGCAATGGCTTGGCGTTCGAAGCCAGGAAAAAAGCACCCGAAGCCCTGATGCGCGGCTTTCACTCCAAGCAGCAACCCAGAAGTAGATGCGGTGCAACTCGCGGAAGCCGTCACTATCCGGCACTCTTGGGGGTTGGGGGCACCTCAGGCACGAGTAATCCTAAGCGGTACATATGAGCCCTGACTGTTGATGCTCCGAAATAGCTATCACGCGAGCATCACTTGTAACGACCACTTGTTCATCTGTCCTGAATGGTAAGGCTTGGGGAAGGGTTTCGGGCACCTGGACAAAGAATCGGTCAACAGTGCCACAGGTCAAAACCGTTCTCAGATCTCATCAGCATACCATACTGGCGCTCCCTCATTCCTTCATGCGGGGGCTTGGGGTTTTCAAGTTCATTAGACAATAATAAGTATAGACTGCAAGAAAATGGGTCGCAAGATAGTGGACTCTAGAAATCCCTAAACCCTAAACCAAGCCCTAAAGTTATCATGTCCCTTGCCTCCCAACTGTGGTTGACTCTCTCATCCTAGCCCTCCCAATACCATCCGCCCCCAGGTTTAGGATTTGGGGCGTGGGGTTTAGGGTTTAAGGTTTAAATCAAGGGTTCAGGGTTTAAGGTTTATCTTAAGGGTTCAGGGTTTAAGGTTTAACTTAAGGGTTCAGGGTTCCGGATTTAGGGGCTCCTTTTTTTTCTTCTGAAGATCGGAAAACTATAGCATATGTCGCCCAGGTCTCCCAGCAGCTCCGGCACCCCCAGAGAGATCTCCGCGGCAAAAGATCATGTTGCGAATCCTGGGGTTTGTTTACGGTGTACAGGGCGTATTAGGGTTTAGGGTTTAGGGTGGCGTATTGGGTCTAGGAATTAGGGGAATGTTGAAACCCTAAAGCCTGTATTCCTCTTGTTTAAGTCTTTCCTGCAGTGCAGGCCTACTGCAGACAACGGGGACGCTCTTTGCAGTTAAAGCCTATTGCTCTTTAAAGAAGAGAAACCTCAAACCCTGGTTTGGCCAGGTGCACTCACTGTCGCTCAGACCATTCAGTAAGGAGTTTCCGAAAATTTGGGTACCTTATTTTGGTGGTCCTGATAATAAGAATCCTAACACTTAGAGTATTACATTAGGGTCCCCTATTTTCGGAAACCCCCATATCAAGACAGAATTTCGGGCCTCGCTCACGATGGTCGCATCCGCCTGAGAACTCATAAGTACAGAAGTACGGAACGACTTAGGGTTTAGGGTGTAGGGTTTAGGGTTTAGGGGGTAGGGTTTAGGGCTTCCTCGGACCGAAACAATTGAGTATGACATGCTTTGGGAGAAGCATACACCAACACATACCGACTAACCAATCCGATTATTCGTGCGCACGTCTTTAGGGTTTAGGGTTTTGGGGGGTTATGGTTTAAGGTTTAGGGTTACTGTATCAGGTGAGCGCATCAAGTATGCTGACCAACAAGGTTAGTTTGGAGCTGCGACTTTTCTGCGTAATTAGCAAGTTCTACTTGGACTTGGAGGTTCATGGGTAGTTATAAGTAGGGTAGGGTTATAAGTATGGTAACTATACCTATAACCCATATTAGGGGCCTTATAACCCCACTGAAAACTACCCCTGAAGCTCCAAGTAAGCTTTGCGCAGGTGACTGGGAGTCGCTGATTTTAGGCACAGCAGTTTCGGGTGTCACACAAATGAAGTAGGGCTTATATTACCATGTTGGTGAGTGTAGATAGGGCTCCTTTTGAATTGGTGAGTGTATGTATTGGGTTTTATTGTGGGGATACTAGTAATATAAACCATACTCTAAATAAAACATGATCAATCCTGTTTCGTATGAAATTCTGGTGTTCGTTATCAACTCCGAACTCCCTCCCTTCAACTCGTCGTTGATGGCATCTCCTTAAATGCTCTATTTCGACCTAAACCCTAAACCCTAAACGATGTGTGGTCAACCAGAGCATCGGGTTCAAGCTGTGCCGAGACCGAGACTTGCACATTTGTACATGACGAGCGCTCTCATCAGAATCAACAGGATTTGGGACGTTTCTGAAGCCGAAATCCAGAACCTCACCCCAAAGTACACCGAACCCCCAAACCCCCAAGACCCCAAAATGCACCATAGATGAACTCAACAACCCCAAACCCTACGATCCCCCCCCCCTCTCCCGCCCCATAGTACTTAGTAGACCCTAAATTACCACGAGGTAGAGTCTAGGATACCCTGCAGCGCCCTTTTGGGTTTAATAAAAGGCGAGCAGCGCGGAATTGCCCTAAACCCTAAAACCCTAAGCCTAGACCCTAAACCCGGTAGCGCCCTTTTGGCTTCAATAAAAGGCGAGCAGCCCGTAATTGAAGGAGGTTTAGCTTTCCACTATGTTCGCGATGCCGCGTCCTCTGGCAGGTCAGCTGCGTGGGAGGGGGCTTAGGATTTTGGGATTTTAGGGGGTTTTAGGGTGTAGGGTTTAGGGTTTTAGTGGTTACCTTAACACCAAGTAACCTACCTTTTTAAGGGGTTATATAAAGAAATCATATTAGGGAACCCTAACAAGGTAGGTTCCTTAGGGTCCAGGTAGGGTTTGAGGGATTTAGTTTCAGGTACCGTAACAAAGAAACTCCAGTCAGCCCCTAACACCCTGAAGCCCCACTGTAAACCCTAAACCCTTTAAGCCACCAAAATCCTGTAACAGGGATCTATAGTAAATAAGATGCTTTCTTTCTTATGGCACCTTAAACCAAATCCCTTAAACCCTCAACCCTAAACCCCTAAACCCCTAAACCCCTAAACCCCTAAACCCCTAAACCCTAAACCTTAAACCCCAAACCCACGGCTTTTGGTTTGGAGTTCCGCGAAGGGTTTCGGTTGCTAGGCTGGTGGAGGACTGAGGACCAGAGAGCCAGTCTCAAGGCGACTTTAAAGGGGTCTATAAGGGGTTATAAGGCATCTATAGGGGTTCCTTTAAAGGGGTCTATAGGATTCTATAAGGGTTCCTCTAAAGGGGTCTATAGGATTCTATAAGGGTTCCTTTAAAGGAGTCTACAGGATTCTATAAGGGCTCCTTTAAAGGGGTCTATCAGGGGTTACTAGGTAGGCCTTTGGGACATTATATATTTTCCTTTTTTGGGCTTAATAGGACCCTATTTACGAATATTTGTCAGATGCTTTAAAGGGCCAACCTAGGTTATTGTAAGGGATCTATAAGGGTACTATAATGTAGTGGCCTTAATATTTTGAGGGTGTTTTTCCATGTCATCTTCTCTTGCTCCCAACGGTCGTCTAAGCCGCATCATGCACCACGGGCACTTCTATGCGTTCGCTTCGTTAATGCAGGGTCCTTGGTGAGTAGAATAGGGCTTTAAGGCCCATTATACTGTACTTATAGTAAGGAACCCTCAAACATACTATAGGTAACTATTTAGGCCCTATATTACGTCCTCATAATCGCCCTTATAGTAGCCCTTCTAGACCCCTTTAAAGGAACCCTTATAGAACCCCTATAGATTTGTTTAAGGGAACCCTATTCTAGTTAATTATTGTTTAGGCCACTATAGTACCTTTCCAGCTTTAGCTCCTGGATCACTCGCAGCTTTGGACACCGAGTCGGGACGAGATGGTTTAGGGTTTAGGGTTTGGGGCTAGGAGGGGTTTAGAGGGTTCAGGGGTTTAGGAAGTTTAGGGTTTAGGGTTAGGGCGGAGTCAGATGGATGCTCCGGCTTGGCTTCCTGCGGTTCTCATAAACCCTACTGTAAGCGCTTAACCGGTTTCTGATATCGAACTCAATATCTCATTCGCGGGACATTTATGTAAGACCTGCTCAGATGAACTTTCTTGCTCATAAACAGAGTGAGAGTGAAGGATCATACAGATATCATGAGGCACCACATCTTAAACCCTAAACATGTGGCGGTAAACCGCAAACGGAAAGACCTACATGGCATTTCGAATTTGGTGTATGTTCTAGCCATGAAGTTGTCACATATTACATGGAGGGTCATGATTGTGCAATCCAGGGATTTCTGGTGAGATAGATACGCGCAGTATAGAGTAGGTTTCAAGCCGCACGAGTTTTCTTGGGTTCATGCGTAGTTCAAGCTGTAGTTCGCTGGCGTCGTCACCTGACTCGCAATCTTGTAGTGCCAGTCGCAGAAGTCGAAGCCCACCCCTTCATCCACGGCTAAAATCCAAGACCCTGGATCTTAACCCTAAACCCTAAGCCCTCAGCCCTCAACCCTAAGCCCTCAGCCCTCAACCCTAAACCCTAAACCCTAACCCTAAACCCTAAGCCCTAAACCCTAAGCCCTAGAATCCTGAAGCCTCCCAGGCACTACAGTTTTGAATTTGGAGCCACTCCGAAACGAGACTCCGGTTCAGCCTTGTCCTTTTTCATGGTTCCCCCAAAGGAATAAACAGACCGGCTAGTAGACCTTCTTAAATAGTTCCTACTAAGGGGTATAGGTATAGGGCTCTGTCTATTGTTTCTAAAAGGACAAGGGTGCTCCGGTTG